GCCGCTCCCGCGCGTATCGATTGACTGGAGCGCGCTTTCCATCTTAAAAAGCTAGGCTGCTGATGCGATTTTGGGCTCTAACAAGGTCAAGAGGAGGAGTTTCGGAACCAAAATTTCACCATGTAGTAAACTTTAGGTGTGCAACAGATTTATGTAAAAATTTTGAAAAAATTATGTGAACTGAGAGTTTTGCCGACCTCAGGTGGGAATTAGGTCGGCAAATGCCGACCTAATTTGGAAATTAGTTAAGGAAACTTTTCATTCACATAAGTTTTTCATAATATTTCATACTTAGTTACTGAGTCCTACTGCGCATACACACACCGAATCCCGCGCGATTTCGTTACCTCTGCGTTGCAAACGAGCCATTTTTCCAATTCTCTAGTAGCGCAAAATTTTCAGAAAAAAGTTTGCCACAACCTTCAGTCACATAATTTTTCAATGAAACTCCTCAATTAAGCCCTGCAAGTCCGTGTGCATGTACTTACCAAGTTTCATGCCATATCGTTCATCTGCGCGTTCCAAACGAGCCGTTTGAATTCACATCTTCATTTACCAGTTTAGCGAAATTTTCGGAAAAAATGCTAATTACTCGTTCCGTTCACATAAGTTTTTCATAAATTTTCATACTATGTTTCCACTAGCCTCTCTCCGTTCGCTTACAAAATTTGGTGCCATATCGTTACACATACATTGAGAACTAGTCATGCATGCTGTTACAAATAGCATCGCTTGGGCAACGTCGCGCGTGCGGCAATTAGCGACGGCGCGGTTTGACGCGCGCGAACTCCACTGTTCGCCTGTTGAGGCACATAACATGTCAAGATAAGTAGCGAGCATGAACTACCAAATTTTTTCCGGGGCTCCGCCCCGGACCCCGCAAAAACGATTTCCCCTTTGCTTTTTGGCCCCAAAACGATTTCCAGCTTGTCATTTGCCGACCTCATGCCGGGCCCTGACCCGGACCTGGCAGCTGAGTGTCGCACCCACTAGCCACTAGGCTGTGGTTAACGCGTTTGGAGACCGAAAAAATGTGCCTCACAAGCTTTCCTTTTCTATTCCGAAGCAAGAAATGTTGAAGAGGGAAGATGGGGTTCAGGGTACGGTATTCGGGATCACGCAACGAATTTAAAGGTCGCTTCAAAAAGTGCTAGTCAATGCGTTGTTATTTTTCTGTTATAGAATGATATGTGGAGAAGTCAGCTGTTTTTTTGGAGGCTTCTAATGTTAGCAGCAAAAAAGACCTCCTAGACGAGGAATCGAACCCGGACCTGGCAGCTGAGGGTCGCACCCACTAGCCACTAGGCTATGGATAACGCGTTTGGAGACCGAAATAATGTGCCCCACAAGCTTTCCTTTTCTATTCCGAAGCAAGAAATGTTGAAGAGGGAAGATGGGGTTCAGGGTACGGTATTCGGGCTCACGCAACGAATTTAAAGGTCGCTTCAAAAAGTGCTAATCAATACGTTGCCATTTTTCTGTTATAGAATGATTTCAATGCAAGTCAAATAAGTTACACGAAATGCAGTTGGTACTACCATATCTCAGCTTCTTCTGTTTGAAAAGTTCATTTTCGGACCCACGATGAATTTTGCAGAATATCCGACCCCTTCTTCATATTAGAAGCTTATTGCTACCCTTTCAGGCCGATTCCACTGCTATGGATCCTTGCCACTACGACAAATTTTATGGAATTTTGGCAAATGGTTGTGACAAATAGAATCCCCTCATAAGATATAGGAAACAATTTTCAAAAAAATTTTCATGGATGGAAATATGCAAGCACACTCTTCTATGATAGCAGATGCACAAGAATTCACTCAAAAATTTATGCTACTTTTGGATTTATTTCAAAAAAAGCTTGATTCTTGAGTGCAGGCCATAAAAGGACTTATAGTGGATACTTTGAAAGAAACCGCAGTCAATATGTATTCGGAATTATTTGCTTGAGGGAAGTAATTCGAAGAGCATTTTACTACGTTTACTTACAGACTATCTACTAGTCATATATACGGTGATGATATAAAAATTAGAAGCTAACGTTTAGCAAGCCACCCACAAGCTTCTATTGAAGCATAGTCTAGAAGTTACATACCTTTTTGTTTTCTAATCCATTAGCTTATTTGGATTAATCGTCTAGCAGTGCAGAACGTGTAGACATAAACTGAAATCGAACTTGCAGAACTTTCAATTAGACTCACACAGATATTCGGTTAAAGCGAAAATTCATTCGCATCTTTTTTTGACTTTTCTATTGGTTTTACTCGGAATTAGACAGAAGGCAAATTTTTTTTCAAGCAAGTTTGTCAATCTAAAAACACCGCAATGAAATCCGGAACAGTCATAATACAAGCTCTACGTCCTTTTTCTAGATGAGTGAATTTTGGGCTGATTGGCCGTTTTGGGCCATTTCTAGAAAGGTAACATTTGAGAAAATTCAACAATACTGCCAAATTAGTTTACTGTACTTTCCTCGAAAATCATAACTTTGGGTATAGGCGCTTAGCACAAACCCTGCTCAGCTAGAAAAAAACATCATAAAATGTCTGTTAATAATTGTTTCGCGTTTTGAAAATAGCTCAAATTTATACTCTGCTTAAAAATATCGAAACTCTACTTGTCCTTAATTAGAAAACAACATTCTGATGTAGTTGGCTCTTCAGCCTACAGCCATATAGGCAATTTCGTGCAGTTCACCTCATTCTTTTGTCTTCATAACTATCCTTCCACTCAACCGGATTGACGGCTGATTGGGTAGAGCATGTCGTCCGCGCTGCCGAATCGCCTGGCTGTGCACCTCTTTCACGATCGTACTTTCGGGTAAAGCTCCGCTTTTCCCACGCTCGTCATGGGAAAAATGATCAGAGAGACGCTCAAAAAATGCAGAGTCCAAGCAGCTCCGCCCTCCAACCGCCAACCCTGTTGAAACAGAAAGTACATAATTGGTTGAAGTAAATATTTGATGACTCCGAATTTCAAGAAAATGCATTCTAGGTGCAAAGCGCTTGAAAATCAAGCGGAAGTTATGTATCATTAGTTCAATAAGGGCTATCGAATAAATTAGTAATACAGAAGAGATACTGTAGTTGTTCTACAATATAATCTGTTAGTATAAGAAGTTTATTTACGCGGTTTAAACAAATTCTGGTCTAAGACCCTCGAGGTAGTTTTGAAAGCTTTCAGCGTTTTGCAGAAATTGCTTTGATGCTGATAATTACATTATAATTCCAAATAGAAAAAATCTCACCATTACCTTTGATGAAAAATGCGGCGATAGTCATGATTTGGCTTATGCTAATAAATTTGGCAGTGCGGCAGACCCTAATGCAACCTAGTATTTAGGGAAAATATAATACCCTATGAGGCAAGACTTATTACCAAATAAGAATAGACAGATAATAAAATCGCTTTCATCATAAGGTCATCTCAAACAGAATGATGATAGTGCACACACTATCTATTATAGTTCATATGTCAACTCCACAATCCTCTACCAACAATTACTGGAAAACAGATTCAACGATAATGTTTGTCTGGAATTATCCGATGGGAAATCTTAATAGAGAAAAAATTTGGTAAAAACGTCAATCCTGCAGACTAAAATCGATCACTTAGAGTGCAAATGTGATCTCCCAGTTCTCCTGACAGGTTTCCATACTGACTGTGTAGGCAGAATCGTAACCGAGGAGGGTACTATACTCCTTGCAGGCCCCTGCAAATAACCCAAATTTCAAAATCATGATTATGCGAAATAGTTTTACCCTTCTACTGATTCAACTATTATGTCGAGATTCGCGGGAGCGACACCATGAAATATTTCTTTACTTTGCAGATACTTATCCGTTTGCACAGTAACATAAGTGATTTTCCGTTTGCCTGCTATCCAATCCTGTAAAAGATGGATTTGAAGGCCGCAAGCCCTAGTTGGAGTTAGCTCAATTCCACTGGTTTCACTGTTCTAGCACTTAAAAACAATCTTAAATTACAGTGACTCTTCACGGAAATCGAAACCAGCGCCTTCGGTCACCCGTGGGCAAAATTTTGAATATCATTCAATTTTAGGCTAAGACGGCCGCTCTATTCCTCGAGGAGTATAGCACCCCTTCATATGCATAAAGTACGTGTAAAATCTGCGATTTTTATACCGGCGATAGTCCGTCGCTAATACTGGCGACGGCATTTTGCACAGCTTTTGAAAAAAGAGAAAAGAAAAAACTCCAGAAAAAACTACCACTTTGGACCATACCCATCCACCGATAAGTTCAGTTTTTCATATGACTGGTGACGAAATAGAGACAAACAAGTCAAGACAAGTTCTTAATTCATAATACGCAAGAACGTCCACTAGAAGAAGATTACATATCATCTATTCTAGGACTGGGAGACGCGTGACCGCATTGCGGACATTGTGTTAACATGTTTGAGTTTGTTTTTTTCGGTTTGCAAGAGAGTGAATAGACGTGGGCGAGATAAATGACAAGTATAAACCTGCTAAGTGCACGATTAAGCTTGTTTAGACAATGTGTGCAAAGCGGTCTCGCGTCTCCTAGTCCTAGAATGAATGATGTATGAGCTCTACAATTACTCTTCGATAATCTTAAAGACTACTGTGGATCCTCTCTCCTTACTGAGGATACGTGAGAAATCGAAACTTCGGGGAAGGGACGATAAATTTACACAAAACTTTGATTTCTTTTCATCAAATCTTGCAAAATACGCTTCGAATGTTAATGGCATAAATCGAAAATAGACTAGTCGTAATGCGTTAAAATTCGAACTCTGTAGAATTATATTTCTCAAAGCTTAGATATAGTTCAAAGCACAAATTTGAAGAAAAATTATGTGCTAGTAATAGAACATGGATCTTACCAGGATCAAGCGATTGATACCCGCACTGGTTATGTATACAGAGTTTAAAAGCAATTTATTTGCTTGTAACCTGGCCAGCTGATCGTCGGTAAGTCCGCTTTTCACAGAGGTACGAAGTTCGCCAGCCAACTTCACCTGCAAAAAGGCTTCAAGATGTGCGTACTGAATGGCGAGCTTGACGACGAACCGCATCAAGATCAAAAAATTGTTATCCAGAAATATATTAGGCTCGTATATAACAATTGTGCATCTGGGAGGTAGCAAGCGAACCAAGTCGGTTACGAGAGCTCTATTTTCTGTGCCGAGTTCCAGAAAATTTGTTAGCCCTTGTGACGTCAATGTCTGCTTCTGCAGAAGTTCGTGCATACCCGAAGTGACCGAAATCTGCAAAATGCAATTGAATATTTCAATAGGATATAGTAAAAAAAATATTCCAACAAATCACAAATACAGTCTGTTCCAACTGAGAGTAGGCAAAATTTTTGTGGAGCAGCGCGTTCGCATCGCTAGAGGTTTGCGAGCACATAGTCCTGGAATTTTGCCAGCAAGGATTGAGGAGGATGCCCGCCAATCCAATCTCGCTAATCTGGTTTGAAACTTACTGTTGTGGAATTGGATTGAGGTTCACTTAGGGGTTTATTATGCCTGCTAATCACGAAAGTGATATTTGTTTTGCATGGTGGGGCCTTTCTGAGGGAGTAAGCGCTCGGTACGGGATCAAAGTGCTAGAATTCGTTGAAACTTTACAGAGAGAGGTTACTGGACATCCTAATCACGAGTACCGTGTCTATTCCCATGCATTATGGTGGAGTTATGGTAGAATTATGGTATAAAGTCAGAATCTCAGAATTTTCTCGAACTTTGCATGAAAAATTAGTCGAACTGCTGATCACGAAAATGATATGTCGTATGGTAAGCTTTTTTGAGAGTTTATCGTAGATCATTACTGAATTACCTAAATTACTCAGACCACTAGAGAGCTGTGGACTGAGTGGTGAGATATTTTGCCATAGTCAGGGTCTACCTGCCCCTTCACACAACTCTGGACTGCCTATCTCCCCTCGTTCTCGCTTTAGTGATGTCGAGAACCAGTGATTTCACAGCCAGATCAATCATGCTTTTTCGAATCTGATAGGTTTCGACAATAGTGATGGTTGTGTTTCGGAAAATGGTGCTCCGTTGTCTAGAAAACGAGTTACGCTCCACTCTCGCCGGTGTGTATAAAGAGCTAAGAATGGAGGAGGAAGTGAGAGATGGCTGAGAAATAGGTTTCCTTGCATTTAAATGTCCGACTTGTCATCAGAAAAAGACTTTTCAAGCCATGCAGGTGTACTGCCATCGGAAGGATTGCCGATACAGACCGATTAGAGCCACGAAGCCAAAGGGTGCCAGCTTCGAGACTTTTTTCTGATGAAATGTAAGGTCCGCTTGCTGAGAAATCTTCCTACTTTTGGCTCCTTACTTCGACATCGTGGAAGACAGGGAGTACGAGCTCAACATCAACCACCCCCACCACTACTCAGTGGGAGCAGTACTTTCGGGACGTCTGCTGTAGGTTTCTTTTTTCGGAGAAACCGCCCTGTGGAGGTTTCTGGCACGTCATTGAGATAGATAAGACCTATGTGACGCAGAGCAAGTACAACCGAGGGCGAGCGGTTCGACACCACCAGTGGCTGGGTGGAACGAAAGAGCGGAGGTCCTTCTTGTTTTTGGTACGCCGGCGCAACGCCGGTATGCTCCTCAGACTGGTTATAAGGTACATTCGGCTCGAAACTAGCATCGTGAGTGTCTGCTGGCGTGCCTATAACGGGATGGCATCTCTACCGGAGGATACCATCACCTGACTGTGAACCACCAAATGAACTTTCAAACGGATCCCAACACTGACGGTCACATCCAGCACATAGGAAGTCACTTGCAGAAACTCGAAAAGATGACGAGACAAAAGAAGTGTTGCACAGCAGCAGCCGCGCGAACTATCTCAACGAATCTTTGTGGAGGCAGATGTAGCGTGAGGAGTCTCTAAAAATTCTAGAAGCAGGTGGCTGATTTATATCCAATCTCCTGCTAGCAACCTAAACTGTCCCAATGGCACTCCTTAAGGTTGCAGGTGTAAATGGCCAGAGTCTTGAGCGGGTTCTTCAAATGAAAGTGTTATTAGTGATGAGCATGCAGAATAACCCGCCTATGCAAAGTTGCAGTTTGCATAGGCGAATTTTGCAGTCCTGACCCCATACTATCTACTGTAACCCTATCATAAAGCATATTTGTAAGAGATAAATTTGGTATTCGTAACCATCATGTCCAATAGCCCTTTGTGCAAAATCCCACGAAAATTTCATATCTCAGCCTCATAGCGTAAGCCAATCGTAACCTCTCAGTAAAATGGCCCTACCATGCGAAATGAATATCGTTTCCATAATCATTCGATTAGCCCCCGCCCTAGGCGCCCGAGGATTTCTCGGAAAAATCAGTGACTTTAATTTGGATTATGAAGTGGAATAATACCCAAATGTCGTATGCTTGTATTAGGTCGTTCCGAAAGTAATGTCGCTTTATTCAAACGTACGCCACTTCTCGTACAAAGATGAGTAAGAGATTCTGGTAGCATTTGATGAAGCAATTCATTCTCTTTCTGGTGTTTATACAGGGTGTCCGTAAAAAATGTGCCTACTGTTTGATTGTGAATAACTCTCTTCTAACGAAGTCTTTCGAGAAGCTTTAGGCACCATTTTGTAGAGCTGGCTTCAACTTAGATTTACAGTATAGAGCGAATCGCCGATCTCTCATTCTTACTGTAGGATTACGGTAGAAACTTTAAACATATGGTGTCAATGTGAAAAAAGCTGCCATTTCAAAATTTTTCAAAAAAATGTGAAGACTTGTGCAATAAGGTTTTCTTGGACGCTGAGTTCAATATTCAACTAGTCACAAGATTGCGAAGCTTTTTAAACGGTGTAACCGCGCTTTTTAGCGACATTGAAAAAATGGCCGCTACCTCTAATCTGGCATAAATCTTCAATGAAGCATCATTATAAGTTGGGAATTTCACAGTTAGAATTGGCAACTCTAATTAGCCTAGTGTAAAAGTTTTCAGGCTGTTTTGTTTCCTTTCCGAGGCAAAATATGGCCTTTCACGGCTCAAAACCTCTTTTTGAAGTTTCCACCGTAATCCTACAGTAAGAATGAGAGATCGGCGATTCGCTCTATACTGTAAATCTAAGTTGAAGCCAGCTCTAAAAAATGGTGCCTAAAGCTTCTCGAAAGACTTCGTTAGAAGAGAGTTATTCACAATCAAACAGTAGGCACATTTTTTACGGACACCCTGTATAACCATTGCACATTCAATAATCTGTCGAAAAATTATCAAAATGTGCGACCCACGCTTTTTGAAAAGACCAGGTTTTACAATTTTTTTTTGAAATTTTATAACAACCCTCGGAAGGATTCCAAGCAATGGATGGATAGAGTAAACCCTACAAAAAACAGCACAATTTTTTTCTACTTTCTAGGCCTCGTCATGACTTTTGTATAGATTTTTTGATGAAACCACCGAATTTTAGCAGGCTCGTCTTAGACACAAATGCATCAAACACCCGATAAGTCTTCGGATTTTGAAACTTACAAAGATGGATTATGGTTTGACACTGATTTTACAAAACAAATGAGCATTCATCGCTTCAGATTAGCAACTTTTGAAAACTCCGGGTACATCCCGGGGCGCCCCTGGAAAACCTGAATTATGATGATTTTATCCCGGAAACTTGATGAATCGGAAACAAAAGCAACTGGTAGAAAGAGGAGAAATAACTGCACCGAATGGCATCCGAGTTGATTGCCGGTTGTTGTTCTGTGAGGTTTGAGATGGCCAAATACGGAATTTAATAGCACTGAAAAATTGATTCCAGGAACTTTAAGATGCGAGCTAAAAAAAAGAAAAAAATTTCCTGTGTCCTATAGGGTTTGCTCTACCTAACTGTTGCTCATACTTTTTAGGAGAATAACAAAAATTTAGAAAAATAGCCGAACTTGACCATGGCAAAGAGCATGAGTAGCAGATTTTGGTAAGTTTTCGAGAGCTCATTGATTATCATGCAATGAAATTACAACATTAATAAGAGGATGAAATGATCGAATCCTCCTAAGACCTTCTGAAAATCTTGATTCCATGAAATGTAGCGTTCATTTGAAAAAAAGCGACGTTACTTTCGGAACGGCCTAATATTTAGACCTGCCGCATTCGCTCAGTTTGCTCTAAACCATTTCAAGATAAGTAGGCGCTGTCTAACAGCTTTTCGCATATGTCTTTAAATTTAATGCGTATTTGCGGTGTTACAGCATTGCAGAATCACATATCTGGCAAAACTGACGCAAAAATCTTCAAGCTCAGTCTGAAATAAAAAATCTTTGACTAGAAAGTAAGGCATGTCAACTGACTATAAATACTAGAGTGGTTCGCAAATCGAATAGTTCCGCATATCGAAGAAGCACTTGCACTGCTTTGAATCGGTAGTCTTCATCATAAGATATACGCTTCGCTGATGGCGGCACCCGAGGACGTGATCTGCCAATAACCTACATCAACTCACTTTTTGTATAAGAAATCGACTAAGTTACAAGTCCAGGTTTGCATGCTGTTGGGCGACGTAGGATCCTCCAAAATTCGCATTCGGAAAAAATTGCAACACAAAGTTTGCTTCCGATGGTGCGGAATGGTCCAAAATCTCAACTATGGCAATGTATACAACACACTCGTACGGAGACTGGAATAATATTGAACAAATAAGTAACTTGGAACCTTCCTTGAAAGCAATCGTTCTTTTTTGAAAGTCTAGCGTCATTCCACTTTTAACAAATAGAGCACTCCTACTTTCAGGTGTATAAGCCGCACCGTATCTGCGCTAAAGGCGAACATACCAAGAGACTGACTGTCACCATGGAGCGGGTAAAGCGCGAGCAAAATGCGAGGAAGCGACCGCTTCGCGAGACAGATGTGCAGCGGCGCGCCTGCGTCTGCGTTTAGAACAAAGAGGATCCGGCTTATACACCTGAAAATAGAGTAAATGAGAACAAAATTTGCTTTTTCGATTTTTTTCGTCTAATCTACGTAAAGTGTGCCGTGTGTGTTCTCTGGGACAATGCGTTCAAAGATGCCTGTGCCAGCGCCATGCCAGTGCCGTTCCAGACCCGCTCCAGCGCCGTGTTAGTGCGTGCCAATATGTCGATCGATCAAAAAGGGGCGTGTGCACGGGGAGTGCCGCCAAGACGCTGACACACCTCTGCCACATGGACATTTCTAAACTTAGCCTAAGAATTGCTTTGGCTCATTTGTTCAGAAGTTTACATACACAGAGAAAGAAGTCAAGAAACTCAAGTTTCTAAACATGACGGTACAAAGTGTCTGACGCAGAAAGCTCACCGTTCCCCGACGTTCAGGCTCGCTGATCTGGATGTAATCAATGCGAAGTTTTGTCCTCGATGCCAAAGCATACGATTCCTTGCTCAAAAGCATGAATCGCATGACGGTGTGGAAAGAAGTGTATCGCAAGATTTTTATCTTTAGTTCAGATGGTAGCTCACTCCATCGATGGAATATGTTAAGTGAGTCATTTGTGTCTGATTCCTTCGTAGGACTGGGGCGAACCAACGGGTTGGACATGTCTGCAAGAGCAAAAAATTCGTTCGCCAAGAAGTGCAGGGTTTGTATCACTTATCAAGAAATCCAAAGCATATAAAGTATAGGTTTCTTAATTACTAACACAACATACAGTGATCGCCAAAAAGTTGTGGACAAGCCGCCTTCCCTTCTTCACCGCTCAATTTCGGATAGAAAACAAAGATGAAAAAATGATTGGATTGCATGAGGTGATAGAGCTCTTCAAGAGCTACAACCCACACACTGCGCTTTCTGAAACGTATACTATAAAAACTCTAAAAATCTTTTTAGGAAAAAAAAGTCCCAAAATGGACGCGTCACAATGTCGCGGACATTAATTCTTCGAACGCGAAAAATTTCTTTTAGGTCTTTTCCTGTGGCAAAAACAGACCCCTTTGACCCAGAAACAGGATGGCTATGCTTGCGCAGTACACACTATATCAGAAAAACATTTATTAGAAGAAATACACCCATTTACGCTCACGCGCTAGCATTCATCTCTAGATACTGGGCGATTTGTGCGTTGTATGGCATACAATGGGCTTCATCGTTGTGATTCTGAGCATTGAATAATAATGAAACACTACAAGACAATTGTTTGAATTTTCACCGATCCAACAAGCGGATTTCTCTCTTGAATATGAGTTGGAGCATGTAATGGTGATGCAACGCTTGCCACCCCGGTTGAGATTACATTTGACAAAAAGCTGAAATGGCAAACATGACATGAACACTAATCAGGGAGTAACGCACTTACATTTGCTATGCTTCGTATCAAGTTTTTCCACCAGTCGTGTCAGTTGTCGACTGAAATTTGCTACAACAAAGTTTTCATTGTGGTCGCGTTCGAGCAGGCCAACCAAACAGATGACGAAGTCGTGGAGTGTTATGTAGTTGACAGACTGATTTGCAAAACTCCTGCCATGCCTAAACGCGGACAATCAAGACCGATCGAAATACAAGGTCAAAACCTATCAAAAATTCATTGAAATCTTGGCCACAAACAGATACCGACAGATATCATGAAAGAAGATATACAGAACAAAATAATCGTATAGTGTTTACTAACCTTATGAACATTGACAAAAAACGTGGTCGGCTGCCGCAGGCTGCCGCATTTGTGATGCGCATTTCGAGACGTGACATTTCCGCTTCAACGAGCGGGATAAGCTAAATAAAGATCGTCACATCATAGCCTTCCCCTTCCAGAGCCGGACATACATCACGCGATGCCATCGCCTCGCGATCCTCCCGAAAAGACTGCAATGACGAGTACCTTGCATGCCGATCATCTTGCATTGGGGTTGTGCTAGTTTCAAAGGACTAATCGCGACTATACTATCACAACCGAAATGCAAGGTGACCCGTATGCAACGGGCTTGTTCCAATTGTCTTGTCGAGTGGATCGCACAGCAATGAAGTCGCATTAGGTATATGCCGGAGGCTTGCACCATGCATGAAGATTTGTCATTACCTGAACAGGAAATTTTTCTCAGCCGAATTCAGCATGATCCCAAGCCCAACTTGGCGGCCATGTTCGTCATCGGTCTGTGAACCACATGAACTCAAACGTGAACGCGACTTTCAGCGTGTCAATGGAGCTGAAAAGGCAGAATAAGAAGAAATTCCATTTCAAAACAAAGGAGTTACCAAAAAAATCTAGCATCTGAACATCAATTTTTAGTCTAAGGAACCTACATTGTTCGCAAAGATTTGTTTTTTGAGACATTTGTAAGCGACGATCGCGTGAAAGACGAAACGCAGTAGGAGGCAAGAACAGTCGAGCTTCCTCAGTTGTTTCATCGTCAAGTTGTAAACTAGCATTTCGAATCTGAACCAAATGGATAGACCTTTTTATGGAAAAAAAACTAAATTCTTTCACGTCCACTCGTTTAAATGCTTCAGGAGGAGCTGTTGATGAGAATCTGCTGCAACTCGCATATCCCTAAATGAAAAAGTGAGAAAAAAACGGCTTCGAAAAACACATATGATGATTTCGATCCAGGTTAGACTGTTGCATACAGAAACTCCACTCACTTTGAGCTCAATCGTGGTATCATAGATAAGCGACTGACAAGAAGCCGTTGATCATCGCTGAAAATCGGACCACTGTATACTCGACCTCTTTGATTTATAACCTAGCCACTATCTCAAAGCTTACGGAATGATGTGAATTTTGGATAAACCGTTGCCTACTGCTGTTGACATTGCTCCAAACAGCATTTGTGAAATTGTCGCTATATCTCGTCGCCGTTTGAGAAACTAAACATTCCAACAATTCATAATAGGATTATGACTGAAATGATATGAATTTGTCGAAGCTGTTGCATTATTTGTTATAACATCAACATGCTTATCTACTGCGGAATCACACCTACCTGGAACTTTTTGCAGGCCGATAATTGAGCATTTGATAGCAGAACTCTGTTTCCAACCGAAACAATTGAAGCAAGAATAGAAGAAACAAGAGAAAATATGAAAAACGCACGGGTTGCGCAGCCAAGTCGGTGCTACGAAATATGAACGCCGATCAAAGGACTCAGCGATACGCCTTTCGATTGGAGCGCGCTTTCCTCCTTAGGAAACCGGACTGCTGAGGCTATTTTTGCTCTAAATGGGGAGAGGAGGAGGTTTGAAACCAAATTTTCAGTATATACTAATCCTTGGGCGTAGAGTAGATTTATGTAAAAATTTTGGAAAAATTATGTGAATTGAGAGTTTTGCAGGTGGGAATTAGGTCGACAAATGCCGACCTAATTTGGAAATTAGTTAAGCACGCTCTTCATTCCCATAAGTTTTTCATAATATTTCATACTTTATTACTTAGTCCTCTTGCGCATATACACACAGAATCCCGCGCGATTTCGTCGCCTCTGCGTTGCAATTGAGCCATTTTTCGATTTTTGACGGGAAATTTTCGGAAAAAAGTTTGCCACAACCTTCAGTCACATAGTTATTCAATGAAACTCCTCAGTTAAGCCGTGCAAGCTCGTGTGCATGCACTTACCAAGTTTCATACCATATCGTCATCTGTGCGTTGTAAACGAGCCATTTGAATTCACATCTTCATTCACCAATTTTGCGAAACTTTTGGAAAAAATGCTTATCACTCGTTCCGTTCGCATATTTTCATAATTTTTCATACTGTGTTTCCACTAGCCTCTCTCCGTTCGCTTACAAAATTTGGTGCCATATCGTTACGCATACATTGAGAACTAGTCATGCATGCTGTAACAAATAGCATCGTTTAGACGACGTCGCGCGCGCGGCAGTTAGCGACGGCGCGACGTGACGCGCGCGAACTCTGCTGTGCCTCTATTGAGGCATGTTGAGATAACATGACATGCTGAGATACGCAGAGTGAGGCAACGGCTGTGGAAAATTGACCACTCCGAGTCAGTGCAACGCTATTCGCTGCTCTTTTTTTGCATAGTAGACATTCTGATAAAGTTGTAACGCTATGATATTCATTCTGTGCAAGTCCAGATAAGAAGGGCTCAGCTTTGCCATCGTAACCATCAATTTTTTTTCGGGGTTCCGCCCCGGACCCCGAAAAACGATTTCCCCTTCGCTTTTTGGCCCCAAAACGATTTCCAGCTTGGCATTTGCCGACCTCGTGCCGGGCCCTGGTTGTAGAGCTCATCGAGGACAACAATCGGGTAGTGGTTACTTCCAAAAAAAACCCGAGCTTGAATTTTATTTTGCTTTTTTTTCAAAAATATAGTCGTCCTCACCCCACTAGTCGGTCGGTGGACGAATTCAAATTCGAACTGGAGCAGGCAGGTCGCGGCAGAGCACGGCACCTTAGCTCTCCGTTCAAATTCACGCATTCACTTTGCGTATATTTTCGCCATTGCTTAGCATTTTTTGTATTGTTACAACGTTTTTGACCTATATTGAGTTTTTGTAATTGCTGAGCGTTGTCTCCTGCCGCGCTCTGCCGTGACAGGCGTGCTCCAATTCAAATTTGAATTCGTCCACCGACCGACTAGTGGGGTGAGGGCGACTATAACTTCTAATTCCCCTTTTTAAGCCAAATTTCTTCGCATGGGAATATATTGAACATATCCCAACAAAGCTAATTGGATAAAATGGATGTCTTTTGATATCTTCTATGCATCCGACGTGTGCTGTCGAGTTTCTTTGCTGAAAATGGCTCTTGACAGTGAGTGCACATGACCCCACCTGCATCTCACCACTGACTTGCACCGCTTTGCGGGTCTGTAGCTCGGCCGCCAGTCAATTTACGAGAATGCATGTAGACTCATTCAAAAGAGCGTGAGTTCCTCGACACGAAGGTGTGCAAAAGAGTTGGGTTTGAGAAATCCCAGAGGTTTGGCGGATGGGGTGATAAAGCGCAGCTTCAGTTGTAGGTTGAGGATTTTTGAGTTAAAGTTGAGCAAAGCTCCTTTCGCCACCAGTGCCATCGTGGAAGTTTAAAACCGTTAATTTTCTTGCAATGGACCCATTTCGGAGCTCTAAGACTGTTCTGATGTTGCTAAGAGCCTTCACTCCATTCGCCTCTAAGGCTGCGCTTTATCACCCCATCCTCTGGGATTTCTCAAACCCAACTTTTTTGCACACCTTCGTATCGAGGAACTCACGCTCTTTCGAATGAGCCCACTTGCTGGCTCGTAGAGTGACTGGCGGCCGAGCTACAGGCCCGCAAAGCGCTGCAAGTCAGTGGTCAGATGCAGGTGGGGTCATGTGCACTCACTGTCAAGAGCCAATTTCAGCAAAGAAACTGATAGCACACGTCGGATGCATAGAAGATGTCAAAAGGCATCCATTTTATCTAATCAACTTTGTTGGTATATCTTGAAAAGGTTCCCATGCGAAAAAATTTGGCTTGAAGAAGGGAATTAAAAATTATTTTCTTAAAAAAAGCAAAACAACATTCAAGCTTGGGTTTTTTGGAAGGAACCATTACTCGATTATTGCCCTCGATGAGCTCTACGATACAGTATGCTTACCTGCCCAGAAAACTTCTGTTTTTGCTCCAAGAAAAGACCTAAAAGAAATTTTTCGAGCTCGAAGAATTAATGTCCGCGACATTGTGACGCGGCCATTTTCGGACTTTTTTAGGAAAAGGTTTTTAAAGTTTTTATAATAAACATTTTCTAGAAAGCGCAATGTGAGGGTTGTAGCTCTTGAAAAGCTCTATCACCTCATGCAGTCCAATCATTATTTTCGTCTTTGTTTTTTATCCGAAAATGAGCGATGAAAGAAGGAAGGCGGCTTGTCCGCAACTTTTTGGCGGTCACTGTATACTCAGAATATTCGATATCAAATGCTTTGAAACACAGGAAGTCATTTTATGATTGGACAAAATCACCAAATCATTCAAAAGTGTGGCAAACATAGACATCGAAAGATCTTAATAATTTGTATATCAAATTATATTCAGTTGTTTTTGAACAGATTTAGATTTTGAACAAACTGGAATCAAAGCTTCCAATGATTTCTCTTAGTTATCATATTTCTGAGAATGAGCGTTTTGATTTTTGAATATGGTTGAATGAATATGGCGTAAATCTGCTCCTGCCGTCTTCATTCACCGTTCAAAAAAGTGGAACGTTGAAAATATCTTTATCTCTGATCAATTACTACTGACATTGAAAAAAAAAACAGAAATTGAATATGACGGTGAAACTAGCTTGAAAATAGCAATGCGGTAACCTCATTCTTATCTGGTGCTTGCAAGAGTGCTAGTTTCTGTTCTGTTTTCTGTTTCTATCTATATTCCAACAAGAAAAAGAAAGCCTAAAAAGAAGCAGACCAAAAAGAAGGAAATGTGTTAGTTTTTGCCTAGTGAATAAATGCGCAACTTGGTCACCCAGTACTCAAATTTGAACATTTTTTGCTTTTTTTACTTTTTTTACTGCGCACTACGCCGCGTTGCCGCTAGTTGCCGTGTGCGCGACGTCGCATGAGCGATGCCGTTGAACACCATGATTACATTGATCAGTTCTCAATACAGGCGTAATGATATAGCACCAAATTATGAAAGCGAACAAAGAGAGGCTAGTAGAAACAAAGCATGAAATGTTATGAAAAATTTATGTGAATGGGAGGTGTGATAAGCATTTTTTCCAAATATTTCGCAAAACTGGTGAATAAGATGTGAATTCAAATGGCTCGTTTGC